TGCACTGCCAAGTAGGAACCATCTGGCTGGAACCTATACTCCAACCCCGTGCCCAAGGTCAGAACCCCTTTCTACACCCTAACTTCTTCCCACAGCCTGCACTCCAACCCTGAGCCCCCTCCCACACCCAAACTCCCAGAGTGTGCACCACAAACTTCATCCCACATTCCAGCCCCCTTTCCCATCCTTGGCCCCACTGCATAGCCCACATCCCCAGCCAGAGCCTGCTCCCCCGCCCAAACCCCTGTCTTTTAATTTAAAGAGAGTGAATAGAGATAGCTGAATTACAAGTAACAAAGGTTTGGGAAGTTTATCCGCTCGCTCTACTTATTCCTCACTTGTGGTCATTTGCATTAACTCCAAGGCAAACACAAGGTCAGCGACCTGGTTCTAGTCCTAGCTCTGCCATTGACTTCCCTAGCACCACATCACTTAATCATTCGGTGCCTTTGTTTCCTTATTTGTATCACAACTTCTTGTTCCACAGCAACATGACGAAGCTTAATTCGCTATCTGCAGAGCACATGGAGACCCTCCCTTGGAAGGCTCTGCAGAAGTCTTTTACAGTGATATGTCTGACATCACGAGGAGATGCCATGGCAATAATTAAAAAGGAGGATGAGACGCCAACTGAAGACCAAGATGCTCATGTCACAACTTCTGCTCTGCATTGCCAACCCCTTCAGTGGGAGGATTTCAAACACACAAAAACGTGTATTTGGTCATTCTGCCCTCTAGCATCCCTGCTGACCAAATGTGGCACGGCAGAAATTTGTCTTGGTTGCCCCTTCTCTCGTGGCTCCTTAATAAACACGACACACATACCCCATCCCTGCCTGGGGCTGGTTTAATAACAGTTCAAAACAATCCTCAAAGTCCCCAAGAAAGTCCATCACCACAACAGTAAGGGTTATACTTATCTCTGGGTCTTCAGCCTGTTGTGGTGCTCTCCTTCTGTCTCAGCTCACTCTTTACCCCACAGTCACTCTTCACCATTCCCACTTGGAGCTCAGACACCTTCAACTCTCTCTCTTTAGCTCAGGGAGGCCCGCAGGCAAAACCCCTCCACTGCTCTTTTGGCCCATCCCTAGATACTATCTCCTGTAGAATCCTAGACTCCTAGAACTAGAAAGGACTTCGAGAGGTCATCAAGTCCAGTCCCCTGACCTCACAACAGGACCAAGCACCATCTAGACCAGTGGTCACCAACCAGTCGATCGGGACCTACTGGTAGATCCTGGAGCCTCTGATAGGTGATCTTGACTGGTTTGGCCAAGAGGCTATCAAATGCCAGCACTTCAGCTGTCTCTCCCCCTTCTGCTGTGCACATCTTGCTCTTTGCCTTGAAGCTGTCATCCTCCACCACCCCCTCCCCGCCCCGCTCCCGCTTGCTGTGCAGGGCAGGGAAGGAAGAGAAGGGGCGCTGATGTCAGGGTGCCCCCTCTCCTACCCTGCAGTCTGTCTCCACAGGAGGGGGACACAACAGGGCTTGGGATGGAGGGAGTTTGCTGGCTTCCTTTGGGAGTGGTGCAGGGCCAAGGCAGGGGTGAGCCTGCCTTAGCCCCAGTGCACCTCCTGTGGTAAGCAGTGTCCAGCTGGAGTCTGCATCCTGAACCACTGCCCCAGTCCTAAACCCCCTCCTGTACCTCAAGCTCCTGCCCTAGCCCTGAGCCCCTCCTAGACCCAAACTCCCTTACAGAGCCTGTACCCTGAACCCCCTCCTGCAGCCCAGCTCCCTGCCCCACACTCAGCTCAGAGCCCCTCACACGCCAAATCCCTTGACCCAAGACCAGAGTCTGCGCCCCAACCCTGTGCCCTTGCCTGATGAAAGGGAGGAAGGATGAGGAAGGGAGGGAAAATGGCGTGAGCAGGGGTGGGGCCTTGGAGAAGGGGCACATAGGAGGTGGGGCAAGGGTATTTGGGTTTAAGGTAGATCCTGGATTGCACTTAAATTCAAAAAAGTGATCTTGTGCTTAAAAGGTTGGAGACCCCTGGTCTAGATCAGGGCTACTCAACTTTGGAAGCCCCAGGGGCCACAATGATACTCACAGCACATGCCAAGGGCCACAACTTAAGTGTGGTTGCATATACATGCAAATATATGCAAATAGCTTCTTTCATACTGACAGGCATGAATACAAAGATTAAGGCAAGACGACACAACATGCAGGTCCCATTTAAGTCAGTTCTGCTGATATTAATAAAATGCAAAGGTTACCCAATTTCCATCCATACGACAGCACTTTTAATGAGCAATGGCAGCCAAAGAATGTAAGTACTAAAACACATATCAACAGAAGACCATTATATTGACTTCTTTTTTGTTTCGGCTCCCACTTGCAGGCTATGTGTTGAGCCCCAGGTAAACCCAAACTGCACCGCGGGCTGCAAACAAACAGGCCGAGGGCAGCCCATGGGCCCCATGTTGAGTGGCCCTGATCGAGATTATCCCTGACAGATGTTTGTTTAACCTGCTCTTAAATATCTACAATGATGGAGATTCCACAACCTCCCTCAGCAATTTATTCCAGTGCTTAGGAAGTGTTTCCTAATGTCCAACCTAAACCTTACTTGGTACAATTTAAGTCCATTTTTCCTTGTCCTATTATGAGAGACTATGGAGAATAATTTTTCTCCCTCCTCCTTGTAACAATTTTTTAGGTATTTGAAAACTGCTACAGGGTCCCCTCTCAGTCTTCTCTTTTCCAAACTAAACAAAACCAATTTTTTCAGTCTTCCCTCATAGGTCATGTCTTCTAGACCTTTAATCATCTATCAGGGATGGTCTAAATAGTACTGGACCCTGCCATGAGGGCAGGGGAATGGACTCGATGACCTCTCAAGTTCCCTTCAAGTTCTGGTGTTCTGTGATTCTTGTTGCTCTTCTCTGGATCTTCTCCAATTTCTCCACGTCTTTCCTGAAATGTGGTGCATAGAACTGGACACAATGCTCCAGTTGAGACCTATTCAGCATAGGGTAGAGGAGAAGAATGATTTCTTGGGTGTTGTTCACAACACTCCCATTAATGCACCCCAGAATGATGTTTCCTTTTTTTGCAACAGTGTCACATGGCTGGCTTATATTTAGCTTGTGGTTCACTATGATGGCCAGAACCTTTTCTATTGTACTCCTTAGACCAGGCATGTCCAAAGTCCGGCCCGCGGGCCAATTGCGGCCCGCGGTCGGATTTAATACGGCCCCCGCTTCTCCCGGCTCCCCGGTGCTCCTTTT